TCTTTTGTTTGGCTACACATTATATCAACTGCATTGTAAATGCAAGTATTTTATTTTTGGAAGAAAACAGGGTGAGCAATATGCCATGTAATTAATTTTGGTAATATTTTACATTTTGTAGCTGTGGGGTTAGTTTTCCAGCTGATAGATAGACAGATAAATAGATAGCTGACATGATAGTTGGTGCATGTATGTGAATATCTGTGTGTTTTTGATGCAGGTATGGTGTCTTACTGTGTTTATCCAGCTGCCCTCAGATCAGCCACAATGTCAGGGTTTGGCTTCCTGTCCTTATGGCCCTGACCCAAGCCTGAGCTGTGTTTGGGCCCTGGGCCTCCTCATGGCTACTAGATGGACTTGCGTTTGTGCGTACATGTGTGTGTGTGTTTGTGCATGTGTGGCCAGCACAGGGTGGTGGGTTGTAATTTAAGCCCCAGGCTTGGACAGGACTACTGCAGAGTCCATCCAGGCAGAAAAAGCAAGACATGGTAGCTGCAGGGAGAGAGAGAGAGAGAGAGAGCAGGACAGCTGAAATACTAAGAGGAGGGAAGGTTAGAGAGAGAGAAAGTAATGGACAAAGACTAGCGAGGCTCTTTTTAACTCTGTCTCTGTGGAAGAGAGATGTCAGTCTATGTCATTTCGCTCCACTAACCAGCCTGTAACAGGAGAAACAGATCTCTCCCTCCCTCTCTCACACTTTCTTGCTCTTTCTCCCTCTCACTCCCTCCCACACCATCTCTATCTACTTTCTACTCTCATATCTTTTAGTGATAGGTTTTCTGCCTCATTTGAGAGAAACAGAAATGCTCCACAGCTCAGGGAAAAACAGCAAGACAAAGTAAAAGACCAAGCAAAGAACCAGTCATCTCCAAAAGGAAGGCAATGTATAGTGCAGGTCTTTTCCTGATCACACTACGGGTGAGTGAGAATGGGCAGCTCTGAATGCTGTAGCATAAGGCCTGGAAGGCAAGGCATGCTGCCATCTCTGCTGCAGCATTTTCCTCAGTGCTGCAAGGAGGGCAGCACACAACTTTTCAAACACTGAAGTGATCAAAACTTCAAATCCCCTGGAAATGTCAACTGCATTTGAGGAAATGTCAGTAGAGCTGACAATACACACAAACACACATCAACCTGAGTGTGCCCACACAGTGGCGCTGGCACTGAATATTATGGCAAGAAAGGCAATGTGATATGCAGTAGAGTAGTTGCGTCCTGTGGCTGAAAACAGCTTCAGCTCCTTCATTTTCCCAAATCTCAATAAAGTATTTGTGTATGAGTATGGAGGTATTTAAGTCTGTGGCATTTTCATAGGGATAAACTGTTCTCATCCACTTTGCAACTCTTTAACATGAAATGATGTATCACAGTAATGATTCAACTGGAAGTGCCAGTGTAGTGAAGCACAGAACAACAATGAGCACTGGCAGCATAGGAAACACGAGTCATTGCTTGAAGGCGTTTCAAAAGTTTGTACTTAGTCTAAATGGACTCTTACATTGGTTGCAGAGTATTTCAAGGACCAGTTTATGAATATATAATTTCCTTTAGTAAACTATTGATTCAATTTCTGGTCTTACTCCCTGCCCTTGTTCCTGTAAAATAGATAATATGGAGCACTTTCTGATAGTAGAGTTAATTAAATATCAAAGCTCCTTATATGTTAAATTGCCTCAGGTGATCTCACCCATAGCCACTGACATCATCCTGTGTTCTTATTGATCTGTCCTCATCCCCACTGACTAACGTATCGACATATTCAAGTTTATTTCCTGTCTAGACTGTCAGCAGTGTTTATGGATGACCCTGCCTCCTGGTGAGACATGCACTCACACACATGTGCTGCCACCTCCGCTGCTCATCGATGTATTCTTCTGCATTTGACTCTGTCCCTCTCTTTAATGAATCTGGTAGGTGTTGAACTGCAGATGTTGTGCAGGGCTCCAGTATTGACGAGTATGGGGTTGTGATGAAAGAGCCTGTCCCTGGAGAAGTCACATTGAGTGTGTTAATTTGTGTCTTGTGTGTCAGCACTTCTTGAGGTTGACAGATGAGATGTGGGTTGAGACATGCATATAAGTGGAGAGGTTGTGACTGTCTTGACTGACAAGACTCACTCTAACTCACTCATACAGGCACACAGGCACTTGGCCTGTGTAAGCATGCAGGGCCCCTGGACTCCTTATTTATCTACACCTTCCTATCAAGATCTGCACTCAGCTGCTAATGTCTTGTGATCCTTTGAGGTCATACAGTACTCCACACTGCTGTGTGATTTCTCCTGGCAGGCACTCTCCATGTCCTGCGACATCATCCATTACCAAATTCCTCCTTACCGATTAGAGGAGATAATGCTGAACTGTGGAATTAACCTCAATTAGAACTGCCTCTGTAGATCTTGTTCCACCTCTTGACTACTGTGCTGCATCTTGCATGTTCCTGGTCTCTTCCTGCTCTATTCAGAGCGCATGTATCAGCATGAGTGTGCACGTAAACTCAGATACAGTTTTTAAATAACAAAAAAACAAAACAAAACAAGCTATATCTTAATTTTATAAAGCCTTCTACAATATATCATCATCAAAGATCAAATTATGTCTTTTTGTTGGTTTACTGCTTTATGAGACTGAAATGTGGATTGCCAGGAAATTTTGTACAGATATTCATAGTCTCCAGAGGATGGCACATGACACATAGTTTGGACTTTGGTGACTCCCAGCAGGTTTGCATTTTCATTTATCCAGTTAAATATCTCAACATCAATCTAATGTAGCTAGTAGATGGATTGCCGCAAAATTTTGTCAAGGTTCAGTGTTCCCTGAAAATGGCTGGTTGCAAACATTAACGTGCATTAGCATGCTAAACTAATGGTGAAGGTGCCACACATTTGCTACAGCCTGTTAACATTATCACTGTTTACCATGCTGATGTTAGCATTTAGCTTAAAGTGTTGCAGTGCTGTACTCGCAGAGCTGCTGTAGACTCTTCTTGATAGCTGTCAAAAATTTGTGCCCACCATAACACTCTGCTGTGTAATGACATACTTTAGCACGCCTCTTCCCAGTTATATGGAACAAATGAGTAATTTGAGAGCAATGATGGCAACAGCTTTATGTGTACCATCAAATCTTGGCATGCTGCTCGGTCTTTAAGGCCAGTATGTTGAGTGTTACTCCCTACCATCTGTTTTGGTGGATGAAAAAAGCAACAGTATCTTAGTAAGTAAATTATAAAGGCTCACTAGCTTGACCTTTTTGTCTTTCCCTGTATAATATACAGTAGGAATTCAGAAACAAGCCGTCTCATGCGTGTACTTTTAATCAAGCAAAGAGACAATATGGAAGGAAAAAGATAGGCAGCAAAGAGGCTGAATGACGGAGCAAGGGTTAGAAAAGGTTAGGAAACCTGTAGGCATGTTTGTTGTGTACTTCTTCTGGGCTAGAGGTAATCTCTGGGCTCAGACAAGACTATTTAACTGCAAGTTGATAAAAAAAAATTTATTTATTTTTTTGCTTGCACCTGATATGTTAGGGATACAGACTGGGGAGGCACACCCAACTTGTCTGATCAGAAAGATACAACAGAGCAAGAGAATTTACCCAGTCTCTCTGGTAACACACATACACACTCATATGAGATTCCCAGTACTTCAGTGGCATAGCCATTACTGAGAGTGCGTGGGAGAGGTGGATCGTTGGCTTGAACAAAGGGTGATTTCATTGTTAAGTGAGGTCTGTTTAAATGGTTTTTAACTGCTGCTTGCATGATGGAAGCAGCTGTCTGGGCTTAAAGAGAGGGCAGGTGGGCAGGTCGGAGAGAGGCAGTTGAAAGAAACTTCCAAACAAAAAAAAAAAAAAATCCCCCCTGACCAGCAGGTGGATTTGCATATAGGCCAACAGCCAAAACACTTGTCGGTTTTCTTTTTGTCAGAGCTACTGTTGTGGTGGTGCCCACTCAGTCTGCAACTGTAGGAAGAAGCACTGATGCACCTTGAAGCTTACAAACACCTGCATGTGTGTGAATATAAGCACAAAGACACGCAAATGCACACACACACAGCCAAAAAAAAAATAAAAAAGCAAGATCCTTCCCTCCTGGCTCCTCATGAGAAGTCATTAGGAATGTGCCTGTGTGTTTTATTTTTAGCAGTGAGTGTTTAGGAGGGGTAGTGGAGTCGCGTCAGTCTTCAGGGCCCTCCTCTGCTCTGTCGCTCTGTGTCTCTGTCTCCAGCTGAGAGCTATGTATATTTCATAAGCCCAGGGTGCCTTTTTGTCTTAAGATGTGCTGCACCTCCCCTGCCTGTCTCTCTGCTACTCGTCAGTGGAAGGAGCCATCACTGCCTCTTTTAAACTCTCCCCCTCCTCTCTCTCCTCGCTGACAGCAACCCTCTGCTTCTCCCTCTGCTTTTCATGGTCAGCTTGTTTTTCTCCTGAAGCCTTATCCCTATTTCCTCTCTCAGCTGTGGAGGGGTGCAGAGTAGAGCACATCCAAACAGACTTGAGCTGACAGGAAAAGTCTTTCTTTCTCTCTGTCTCACTCCATCTTTGATTCTGTCTGTCTGTTTTGTGGTTCTGTCACTTCAGGAAAGGGACACTTCTTCACCCAGTGCTGCATCTCCTTTAGTTATTGTCTTTTTATAGCTGAAGTCTGAGTGCTGTGACAGCAGCTAAATATGGTTGCACCAGTGATGGAGTAGATAAGCAGTTAATTGCTATATTTGCACCATCTGTCTCTTTTTAGATTTGATTATAAGGCCAGTATTGCTGCTGTAGTCCCCAAAATGTTCAGCCAGATTTGTTCTGTAACATTTTTAAGACACTTCTTAGTATGTGTGTTTAGCAGAATCAGAATCTGCTTCTCAGGTTGCTGGTAAATAATCTAGGGGTTGATTTACCTGTATGTCACAAATGAAATAGCCCATTGGTGCAGAGGTTCTTCCTTTGTTTTGTGTATTTTCTACTAAAGATCTAAATTATGTTTTATTTTTTAATATCTTTCAGGGTAGTGTTGTGATTGAGGGTGCAGCTAAAACCAGCAAGGAGGCAGACTCAGGTTCCAGGCCTCAGCAACCTGCAGGTGACCACACTCCTCGCCCAGTGACCTTGGAGCCAGAAAAAGCTGACGGAGCCGACTGCCCACTTTCCAGTGAGTTTTGCTCTCTCAAATACCAGAGAACAATCTGTAGTGTTGTTTTATTTTATTGCTTTCCCTTTTCTGTCTTCACCTTTATCACTTCTTTTTTTTTTAAATAATGCTGCCTGGTTCCCTTTAAAGTCTTGATGTTTTTATGACTTCACAATCCATATCATTCACTTCACACCGATATGAACTTTGACTGATATTAGTTCAGAGCAGCGCAGTTTTCCTTTACTATTCTCCAACCTGTAGTAACATTATCTGACATTTTCTGCATTTTTATATTGCATTTCATGACTTTGTGCCTGTGTGGTCACAACTGCAAAAAACGTCCACCCACACCAGAAATGAGTAAATATGTATTAGACATCACTCTTCAACCCATACCCTCAATATATAGATGTACATATATCACTTAGTAGGCATCTTATCTCTGCTTCCTTCTTCCTGTGTGAGGAGTCCTCCTGACCCTGCTGTGTGGCAACACAGGAAGTAATGACACCCCTGTGGTGAAAAGGATGAGGCAATTCTAACACTCAAACTGAAGACGGACCTTTTTGAGTTCTTTTCAGGCTTGTGCTATCGTGTCTCCTATCAGTTCATCCTCTGTAACTCTCAGCCACACTCCTCTACCACCATTTTATACACCTGTCTACAGTACAATACCTTTCACCCTCTTACCCAAAATAGATTAACTCTTTGTTTTCCATCTTTTGTCATACACATGCTACTCTGTGAGATGAGAGCAGGAGAGATTATAATAATTTCCCTGAAGTTTGTTTTGCAAATGTGCAGGAGATCTGATCTCCTCACCCGACTTTGATTTCACTGTTTAATAGCAACTGCTGTTCATTATTAACAATGCAAGCTAGCAAACCCAGTCAGCCCACAAAACATATACGTTTCACAAGTACTTGTTTCTCAAACATCTGTACACTGAAGCTGTTCAGTCAGAAAGGTGAATAAGCAGGTTGTTGAGATGCTGGTAAAGGAGAGGATGGTAATGATAAACTGAGATTCAGAGATGAAAGTATGTGACAAGTGTGTGCATATATCTGTGAGTATCCCCTAAGGGAGGTCATCACTACAGTGGGTTTTGGAGCTCAGTGCATTTATGTGGAAAGTGCTGCTGTCTCCTCTTATCAGTGTAGCTGGACTGCCTATTCACTGGTATTACATCTTCCTTTGTCTTTTTTTTTCTTTTTTACCCACTTACACTTATAAACACAAGCATTTTGTAAATTAAATATTCTTAACGCTACACCTTTTTTAAATTTTCTCTCTCTCTTCACTGCCCTCCCTGCTCACCACTCCTTCCCGCTCTTTCTCTCTTTTCTCTGAGGCTATTTCTGTTTAGCCGTGAGGGCCCCCTTGTCAAATCAAATCAAATCAAATCAAATTTTATTTGTATAGCGCCAAATCACAACAAAAGTCATCTCAGGACACTTTACAAAGTAAGGTCTAGACCTTACTGTTATCAATATTATTACATAGGGAAAACCCAACAAATCCCCCTTGAGCAAGCACTTGGCGACAGTGGGGAGGAAAAACTCCCTTTAACGGAAGAAACCTCCGACAGACCCCGGCTCTTGGTGGGCGGCCTTCTGCCTCGACCGGTTGGGGTGAGTGGATAGAGGAGAGACAAAAGAAGAAAAGCAACAAGACACAACAATCAAACACTGATCAGGTCGATGTGGCCGGTGACTGCTCGTCAGAGACATAGAGCTCAGGAGAGGAGAGGAGAGGAGAGGAGAGGAGAGGAGAGGAGAGGAGAGGAGAGAAACTCAGAGCAGCATGGGCCCCCCCAGCAGCCTAGGCCTATAGCAGCATAACTAAGGGAAGGCCCAGGGTCACCCGATCCAGCCCTAACTATAAGCGTTAACAAAAAGGAACGTCGTAAGTCTACCCGTAAAGGTAGAAAGGGTGTCCGCCTCCCGAACTGAGACTGGGAGTTGGTTCCATAGGAGAGGAGCTTGATAGCTAAAGGCTCTGCCTCCCATTCTGCTTCTGTGGACTCTAGGAACCACAAGTAAACCTGCACTCTGAGAGCGAAGTTGTGATGAAGCTCTATGAGGTCTTTAAGATACGATGGAGCCTTGTAATTAAGGGCTTTGTATGTTAGGAAAAGGATTTTAAATTCTATTCTGAATTTCACAGGGAGCCAGTGGAGAGAAGCTAATATGGGAGAGATATGATCTCTCTTGCTAGTTCCTGTCAGTACTCTGGCTGCAGCATTTTGGATTAACTGGAGGCTTTTTAGGGAATTATTGGGACATCCTGATAGTAAAGAGTTACAGTAGTCCAGCCTGGAAGTAACAAATGCATGGACCAGTTTTTCAGCATCACTTTGAGACAGGATGCTCCTAATTTTTGCAATATTGCGCAGGTGAAAGAAGGCAGATCTAGAGACTTGGTTTATGTGTGATTTAAAGAACATATTCTGATCAAAGATGACTCCAAGGTTCCTCACAGTAGTACTGGAGGCAAGAGCTACAGTGCCTTGCGAAAGTATTCGGCCCCCTGGAACTTTGCGACCTTTTGCCACATTTCAGGCTTCAAACATAAAGATATAAAACTGTAATTTTTTG